TAGAAAATATTAATTAAATCCGTATAGTAAAGTCTATCAAACGTTCTAGTAATACAATATCAAATTCTCTTATTATAATCCGAAATTCTGTTTGGTTTCACCAAAATTCATTCAGCCATATACATCTTGTTGGTACAAACAAACCATTTTTCTCAGTGTGTTTTTAGCAAAATCGTTAAATCTTTCAACAAAATCGTTCTTTCCGTGTTACGTTAGAAATTTTTATACGATCTAAATCATACGAACAAGCAAAAATTTTCAGGTTCGAGATTAAACGTTAAGCGGCCGTCTCGAATAAGATCTCTGCGAATGAAATTAGCGGAGAAACGCGCTCGCGGCATTACAATTTTCCGCGAAACTACCTCCAAAGTGCTCTAGGTTAACGACGGAATCGCAGTTAATATGTTGGTGTGCACGGTGAGGTACGCTATGGCGTGGCAGTTCGAAGCGCCGCGACCGAAGACCAAGACCGGCCGACCTTTTCCACGAGTCGTTAGAGCTATAAGAAAAGGTGAATAGTTTTCTATTTTATATTGAAAGTGTAAATGTCACTGTAACTTACCGTCGACGCGTTAAGCGATCAAACGGCAATCTATTTTCGACGGGGCGCGGTTTAGAGACGTGTAGAGACAAAGTGTGTACTGCGTCGCGCCTGCTCTTTCCGTCGTCGTGCATGATGTAGCGGCGCTTTTCCCGCGGACGTTATTTTATTTTTTATTTCTTGAATGGTGAGGATATATACCCCTCACCGCGGTCCACTTAGTTAATATTCTACCGTTACCCGCGTGTTAGCCGCATGGAGCGTAAAAATGGGATAGATGTACAAGAAAGGCGGCTTCCGCTTTTTTTTTTAACTTTACATATTTCATGCGGTTTTAGTTTCCAAACTACGGATTTAGAAGGAAAAAAGCCGTTATCGCGTTATTTTGTCAAGATTATGTACGTGAAAAGTACGTGTGTATACACGGAAAGAACAATTTTGCTGAATCCAGATCCGAAAATAATTTTTATTCAACAATCAAAATAATTTTGTACGAAAGTCAAAATAATTGCTAGAATATCAAAACGTTTTATGCTTATCAGTTTTAACATTCCAACAAATTATTTTGACGATTCAACAAAAAATTATTTTCAGATCTGTATATATAGCAATATTTTTAGACCTTTCAACAAAATCGTTCTTTCCGTATATGCATGCACACATATACGCGTCTTTTACATCTTTACGACTTTCATTTAATTGTACTACCTGACACGATGTACAATGCTGAACGGCGATTAAAGATAAATGTGCGGATTTCGCAAATCAGAATGCTCTCGCTTCTCCACTGTAACAAATTTACATTGCACGTCAGGAGCATCTGGCGATGGAACATAGCGATGGTTTCACACGGTCTAGTATTATATTTAACGCTAGACATCTCGTAACGTTTAGCTTCTCGGAGAAGCGATTCGCATTGGTCGCTCCTATCGCTATCGCCCATTTCCTTTTCTCATCGGGTCGTGATAAATGGCGAAGTCAGAATTCTTGGCAAAGGAGTCTCGTGAGAAATCTACCTGACGTATCCGGGTTAGAACAAGTCAGCGACGCTGTTTGCACGTTCATCCGGTGCCACGTGATTCTTTGGCTCCTCGGTTAACGTAACAGTATTGCTAGAAGTTTTTTTAATATACATATATGTGATATTTTTTGCTTAATTCTATTCTAACATTTGATATCAATTCTTAAGTGACATACATGTGTCATTCATATCTACGACGTTTTTTTTAAACTTTAAATTTCTATATACAGACAATTCTTCTAGTGATGTCTTCTCACTCTCTAAACTTATATGTATAAAAAAGAAATTGTCTAGTAATTTAAAAAGATTTTAAAAAAGCGACTTGAATATAAATGATGTCATTTAACAGTTAATATCAAGCAGCAATCTCCGATTTTTGTTTCATTTTTCAGTAAGCAGAAAAGAAGCTTAACAAAATTAAGTTAAATTTCTATTTAATTAACAAGAGACAAAAATAATCTTTTTTGTTCGAAAGAAATTTAATTGCAGAACTTAACTCCTGCTTATTTTTATGTAATAGCTACGACCTACTTTAACGGTGTTTCTTTTAACGTTTGAATTAACTGCAGCAAAGAAGGGCGTCAGCCCTCTCTCACGAACGTCGCATTCATTCTCATTTTACCTTTCCTGTTCTGCCACCAGTTTCCACGAAGGCACTGGCTGGTGCGAAGAGTCTCGGCGGGTTCTTGTACAGCGCCGTGAACAAGGCCGGGAAGACCGTGGTGGAGGCCAGTGCGAAGATCAAGAAGACCGTCGAAGAGAATGTGAGTTTTTTTTTCATTGTCACTGTAATCCTGTAAACGTGCCGATCGATTCGGCTTTAATGATCCGCGTCATCCGCCGTCGTCCTGTCGATTTCAATCGGACAGTGAGATATCTTGGAGATTTATTCCAATCTAATCGTATTATATCTTCTAATAAGGGATGCATTAATTAATTACGAATAACATATATATATATATATATATATATATGTTATTCGTAATTAATTAATGCATATACGTCAACTTAATTGAAAAATAATGACGTACGATGCGACGACCTTTGCCGTTTTTTGCTACACTTATTTACGTTAAACCTACGTTCATTTTTAACGAATGTAAATTAATGCGTTTTCGTCATACACTAACTACTTCTGGAACTTGATCGATAAACGTTTTGCTATAGTTTTAATCTTCTACTTTTTTTTTCGTCGACGTAACTACAGAGCTATTTATCCGCGCTCGTTTCGTTACCGTTACGTGCACGGGCAAATTGATAACAGTTTTAATATTCCTGTCGCGTATTATTCGATGTTTTCGCGTTTTGCGTGTGTATCGAAGCATCTGAAATTTTTGCATTGCGCATTTACCGCTCGTGCCGCCCGTACGTGAGTATGGATAAATTCGGAGTAACAGCGAATACTATATATATATAAAGGAGAGAGAGAGAGAGAGAGAAAGAGAGAGAGAGAGAAGCGAACTTATTTTGCAAGCGTTTTTCCTCGGATGCAAGAAAACGTATTTGCGCAAATATTTTCTTTTTCCCTTTCCGCCCTTCGGAAATTCGTGAGCCCCGTGGTAGTTTTTTTTCCCTCCTCCTCCCCCTCCCCTTTCCCTCACTTTTATCGGCACTGCGCTCTGTCGCTGTCGATATCGGCTCGTAGGATTTATTCTTTCGTAATGGTACGGGCTGATACATGTACGCGTATATATATCCAATGCGCGCAACACAATACGACGATATCCCGCGGGAATTCGGTAAACACGTAAACGACAGCACTTCCGGCACGTATATAGCGTGTAATCGCGCGTCGCGCGTATTATACATGCATATTTCGGAAATTAAAGGAGCCCTCCTTCAGTCGCTCGGCAGTCAGCTCTGGCTGCTAGCTGACTTCGCCTCATAAACTCTCTAAACTCGCAATATCCAGGAATTTAATACTCGGCACGCGATGAATTCAATAAAATTCAAGTTGACATCTTGGAATAATAATTTCGGTGAAATTCTCTCTGAAATTGACTTTTCCTGGAAAGGAAAAGCGACGCGCGTGCAACATCTATAACGTATATATCTGCTACTTACTGCAATTTACTTTAAAAATCGACGTGTCAAGTTCTCGTCTTTGTATCGTCTACATTTATCGAACGCCCGCCGTCGCCGACCGTGGAACTCGCATCGATCAGACAGTCCCCCCTCCCCTCCCTCCCCCCCCGCTGTCGTCGCGTTCGTGCATACATTTCGTATATATGCGTTGGGGCAGGAAATGCTGTTGGCATCGACGAACTCTCGTACACGACGCGCGATCATTGAAGGAATACGCGAAATTTATTCCCCGCGTCCGCAGTTCTTTTTCGAGTCGTGCGGGCCGCTGACATCGAGCGAAGTGGTGCGAAGAAACCACTTTCGCGTTTATACTCTGGTTACTGTGAATGGTTATTGGGGAGTTTTTGTTCATCCGTCTCTTCTCCTTGTATTTCTTTTTTTTTTTTTCAAACGGACATGAGTGAATGGATGGACGATGCACGTTTGCGATAGCCCAAAAGTCGGAATGCGAAATATGGGTCGTTAAAGCGCACCGCTGTTCACGCCCGACTCGTCCCGCGATTTCCGCGCGATAGATTTATTTCACGGCGTACGTGAAAGTTTCAGCAAAAATCAACGAATTCTCGCGCCGAGCTGTCAAGCAGACTTCCCGCACTCTTCATAACACGTTGATTCGCGCGCGACAAATTATTATGACTTCTACAGAGAGAGAGAGAGAGAGAGAGAGAGAGAGGGAGGGAGGGAGGGAGACACTAATGAACTGAATTAATAAGCAATTTATTACGAATTATTAGTAATTGATCATCAAAATGACAATACAGTTTGTGTAATTGATGGCTGTAGGTTCAGTTACAATTATCGTGTATAATAGCGGAAATATTTTGGAAATTAATGAAACATCGAAATTCTTGATTGCGAAAGTGTAGTCGCAATAGTTTCTAAATTATGTGGCGACTATAAGGTGGATTAGTGATATCACATAGTTTATTTAATCGAATTTATTTTTTTACCATTTTTATTTGCAGTTTGAATGTAAAAATTAATTACTGGAATTACGAAAGTTAATTAAAAAATGATAATGCTGCAGGTGCACGCGCAGTTTTAAGCATGAATAAATTCTATACGATGTCATTGGCCTACTTTGATTGCATATTTCGAAATTTATTGCGATCAACATTTCCACTAATCAACTAATGTAATCGCGAATTTTCCACTTTAATTAATCTTTTTAGAAAAATATTAATTTAAATATTGCATTCTACACATCGCTTATACATAATTAATATTCTTGAAATGTTAGCGGCCTTCGTTTTAAATTAATATCTTTATATTTATATACACTCGAGAAATAACACAGCTTTGAGTATGAATAATGCGACTTTAATATGAGACGAGGACTGCGTCGAATCAGATCGCAGTTTTCTCGGCTTCCTGCTATAGCCGTTTTCTAGCGGTCACGGCGGTGATTTACCATTGTTGCGACCACTCGCACGTCCTCTGGTACTCACATGCACGTGACATGTAATTTCTCAAGAGACCGCTGCCGTGGTGCACCGCGCGTACGCAGCATCCGTTTGTCCCGCGGTGATCTTCGATTACGGGTCTGCACACCAAGGATATCTAATATCGTCTCCTCAAGCCAATGCATTGATGGTGACAAGTATCAATGTATTGACCTGATTAGACAAGCATCGATGCATCGTTAATATAATAAAACTGCAACAATTTACACAAGGAAGTTGAATTAGGCTGTTTAAAGATGCAAAATTTAGAAAAAAATACGAAGTTTTTTTATTATTTTTTTTTTTAGTCTTCTTTTCTTCTTTCTTTATATAATTTTAAATGTAAGCGCGTGATATTGTCCACCAAAAGTAATGGAATTAATTTAATTGTAACGTTTGTCAATAGTTACTGCGAATAGCAACGTCATAATGGCGACAGTACCGTTAGTAGCTTTAACGATGTATCACCGTGTGCAGGCTTACAATTTTGGTCCTTAGACACCGGCTTTAATTTCAACCATATAAATTTATATTACGCGCAGGTATATGAAGGGAGCATAAATTCTCGCGTATAATAAATTCACTCGATGCTGTTACCAGGTACCGTCGAGCGTGTATTATCGTTGTAACCAGAGTTACAGGTTGGATGTCCGTTGAATAGGTACTATCACGTGACAAGCATCGGCAAACAAAATGCGACCCGGGAACTCGTCGAATGTACAAGCATCGCGTCTCCGCGTTCGGGAATGCGGAATTACTAGTGGGGGGAGGGGGGGAAGGGCGTGTACACCGAAATCGCGTGCGCATGTATATACCTGCTTTTTAGCGTCGTGTCGCTCGCGTGTCGATTGATTATGATCGACGACATTGACGGAAACTTTCGTTTTATCATGAACGTTACAATCGATTCGTTTGTACATTTATTATTTGGCTGAGTTATATCAAATTGACGACTTATTTATGTAAAATCGTTTTATTTTAAAATCGAGTTCGAAGTCAGAGTCTACCAGGTTAAACTTGTGCATTCATTCGCGTTTGCGTTTCGTTTCGTTCTAATTAAATCTAGAAATTTGTCTCTCGGATATTGCAAAATGAACGGATCGTATCACGCTGAGATCTTATAGATCTGTATAGTCTCAAGGGGGAGAAAGAGAGTGATACTGTTATTAATATCTTCCGGAAAAGGCGGGCGATACTCGACCCATTTTCGATTTACACGTTAAAACGGGACAATATTCCGCCTGCTCCTTTATTCGCGCGCACGTTTCGTTGGGTCTTCACAAAAGTCGCGAATGCGTTGAGTTTGTTACTCTTTAGATTTACCGATACTGTTACGGGGAGACAACGGCAGTGACAGGTTCGAAACATATGTTACATGAAGATACGATCACGTCGACACACGTGACAAGATTCTGTGCGCTCGTTCGTTATCTGATCGCGTGCTTCATTATTGAATTACGTAGGCACGAAGCGAGCGATGGTACAGCTCTCGTCGGTTACTCTTGTTGCACAGCGACGTGTTGCAATTTTATTCCCTGGCTGAATAATACGGAGCAATCTGTTCGTAACTTTGCGTTATCAGCTCAGTTTCAAATCAAGTCGAAGACAGATTTATTCGTCGGCATTTTACATTACGTGCACGATTCACGTATTCCGTACTTATTTCTTGTTCTTCGTTTTTGCTTTATCATATACTTCGTGCGAAACAGAAATCTTTCATTGCTCGTTTTGTTATTTTCTCCTATTTCACTTTATTTTTCCTTGAATTAATCCATTTCACATACGTATTCCCATCTCGTGCGAGATATTTTCACGTACACGGAAACAATATTTGTTAAAAATCTGGAAAAATCTATTGAATTTTGTTAGTTCTGTCGCAGTTATAACCAATAACATTTTTTATCACAAAAATTCTATTTTTCGGCCGCGATCGCGAAAATTACAAGTTACGGGATATTGGTGTTCACGTGATATGTACTTTGTACCACGATCCAGTATCGCCTCGCGGGCGTTATCTCATGCCAAATAAACGATAAAATATTTCATCATTTACTTTATCGTTCGCAGACACTGTCTGTTCACATCTTTATTTTTACTGGCAGGGATCTTGGAAACGAGATTTATGCATATCGCGTACATTATCGATCACTATTATTTCCCGGCGACAGCCGCTTCTACCTTATATATCGTGATCAATATCGAAGTAGTGCTTCTTTGTGAAACAGCTTGGCACTTAT